GGTTTCAGGGTCTGTGTGCATGTCAATGTGCTCGGGTGAGTCTGCAAGTGTAATGAATAAGATCCTGGCACATCACAACTGGGTTTTTCTAATGCACTCCCTGTAGACCAGAAGAAATAAACAGATAAAGATGAAGTGGATGTGGATGTGAACGAAATGGCAAAAAAAGGGAGAAAGAGGGAGAGAGAGAGAGCCAAAAGTTAGACTAAGCATGAGAGGGTAAGAGGAAAGGAGGGAGGGAGGGAGTTTTCAGTTTTGTTATTGGAGCCGTACAAGTCATTTCTAACTTAAAGAGTTCCAGATGTGGGTCAGCCTCTGAGAAAGAGGCAGAAAGATGAAGTGAGATCAAGTGAGAGGGAGGAGTTTTAATAGAATGTGCCATGCATTCTGCATGATCAATAATCTACCCTCCCATACTGGTTTGTAAGAAGGAAATGGATATTTGTTTTTTGTTCAGGTGGTAGGCAAAAGAGGGGATGTTGCTCAGCAGTAGGGTTGCCGTTTAGGGTGTAGGGTGTCAGGTGGAAAGATGGTAGAGGGGTATGTGGCTTCCATATCCCAGATTTAGCCCTATAAAAAGCTATGGTGGTCAGAATAATAGTCTGTTGTTATTATATGCACACACACACATCACACGATGGTCTTTCTCAAGACCAGTGACTAAACTCACCAAAATAGGCCAAACCTAAGCTAAAGACATCTGGTGAAGTAATGTGACAAAAGCTGCTTTTTAACTTTTTTATGAAATAGCACCACAATTCAAATGTAAAACCAAACAACAGGCCTGTCTAATGTACAGCAATGTTCTGTTTATAGCACTTGCAGGCTTAAATGGAGCAGATATAATGATGAAGCCACTGGAAGCTGTACAGACTTTGAAATGGAAGGTAGCAGTTAATACGTGAGTGCATGCATGTGGGAAAGTACTATCTATTATGAGCACATTGATCTCAGATCAAAAGTTGGCCGTGTTACATTAGCGTCTTCTCCACATGCACGGCACACTTGCACATAATTGTGCAAGTGTGCCTCATAATTGTATTTAATATTGACTATCTATAGTTATTTTTTCTTTCTCTCTCTCTCTGAGTTGTGTATATTGTTCCTTGGTGCGTGTATGCATCCTCAGCATTTGCTTTGACTCCCTCTGTGTTTGACTAAGCTGCACGATCACACAACAAAAGGCCATTGTGCTGCAGTAAAATAGCTCTGCTCCAGGGAGCTGGTAGTGGGCCACAAACAAAGGCTGGTTACACTGTCCCAACACAAGCTCATGCATCAACTCAACACTGGGCTGCCAAAACAGTCATGGAAAGAGCACTGTGAGTGTACTAGGGATCAACAGAGAAGGTGGAAAAAGAGACTTGATTCAGAAGGGATGTGAGGGTGGAGGAAACAAATAGGCAGGGAGCAGGATGCACAGCTGTAGCTGGAGGAGAGAGGAGGGAGAGATGTAAGATACAGTATGCAGGGATGGTGGTGGGTGAAAGAAATCTGTCTACCAGGAGCACAGGATGAGGAAATGGAAGAAAGGGAGGATTTTAAAGGAGTGTGGCCAACACAGCGAGAGGCTGAGAGGTGAAGTCAGCGCATACAGAGAGCTATGTCAACAGACAAGCCTCCTGCCTAGACTCTGAAGGCTCTCTGCACTCCAAACCACAACAGTAGAACACCAGAGTGACATGTGAGGACTCAATCTCGCTGGTTGAGTCTTTTTTCTCAGCAATTTGTTGTTTTGTGACTTTGGTTGAACAGAAAATGCCTTCTTTGCCCACATTAGAGGCAATTTTCTTACTCTGACAAGTCAAATTGGCAACAAATACATCAAATTCTCACACACTAAAAGCTGCTGTTGTAATCAGCACCAGCAGGACTCGGAGGGAGTGGAAAGTTGTGATCAACACTCAGGAAGACCAATATGTGATACAAAAAAATAGTATGCAACAAAACATTCACTGAAGGTCCTCACTCTATGCTATGCACTGTGTCAACTTAAATGCACTTTTATATACATCATTTATATTTACCATTAGCGTTCTTCCCGCAGATGAGGTGCTCATAGTGTTGCAGGACTCCCCACAGCTCCGCGTCATTGTTGACCACCCCCTCCATGGCCTCTGCACTCACCGTGGTACACCCTGACCCCAAATCAGGCCCTGAATGACCCCTCTCGGCCATCAGCACCCGGGCACCTATCTCCTCCACCAAAGCTTCCATGCATGCAGTTAGGCATATGGCCGCATACTCGTGGATGCGCACGGAGATGCGGGTGTCCACCATCCAGCGGAAGAAGCGTCCCACAGAGAAGGAGAGGCCGCAGCGAGCGGACTTGCCTTTCCTCAATAGTTCACCGGCACTCATGCTGTACAAGGAGATGGCCTTAACTGTAGCAGAGACGCAGTAGTCGGCGAGGGCCCAGCTGAGCACCAACTTCATGGCACTCTGCACTTCGAAGCGTGTGCAGCGGCAGTGCATGACGCTGAGACGCTGAGCCTCTCTGGAAATGCGGATCAGAGCCCTGCGGAGAAGGGTGGACAGCCGCCTCACAGCCTCCGGTGAGAACACAGGTGTAGTCCCCCATTTCATGCTCCCACTCTCGGCCACTTTACGCAGTATTTTGGCCACCTCCTCCTCAGTCCATGGAAACTCTTCCAGTTCAGGTAAGCGTGGACACTTGGAGAAGATGTCCTCTGGGTCTTCTGGAAGGACAGTGTTGACAGTGTCCCAGCTGTTGTTTCTGCTATTCATGGAGCCGGAGTAGTACCACCAGTTCCCCCGGTGAGGGGCCGTCATGAATGCCTGGGAGTTTGACTTTGAGGAGGACAGGCTGAGGGATTTGCAAGAGTCCCCCGCCCCGTAGCCCGAGTCCAGAGTTAGGTCCTCCAGGGTTTTCATGTGGGCATTGCTCAAGCCAGCCATTGTCGTCCAACGGCCTTCACAGAGACCTTCTGGAAGAGAGGCGAACCTCCTCAGCGGCTTACCTGCAAAGTCAGAGAAGCAGCTGACGAAACTCCTCGGCGAGCTGGACGAACTGGTTACACAGCGCAACACTTGTCAGACATACTGTGGAGTTCAGCGTGGGACGGCGAAATACTACAACTCCTTCAGCAGACAAAGTCCTGGTTGTTAGAAAGAGCAGACTGAATCAAAACTCTCTCTATTTCATTTACAAAAAGGACAGCCAGGATGATTCGAGTCGCACCCGGCTCACCTTCCCCCTGATCTCACCGGGATTTAAACTTTCCTCCGGTAACCTGTCTTTTAAGAGATGAAAACAGTCCTTCCGCGATTTCAATACAGCCAGAGTCGAGTTTACTTATAAAATAGCTCCATGTAGCCGCTCAACAGACAGAAAGTCTTTGTTTTTTGCGCAGATAATTGTGGAAAAGTTCGAATATATATCTCTGCTCTCCTCTCACAGCTCGTCGTCACGTACAGTGTACCGGAGAGACTCGGCTGCAGATGTGCGTGAGGAGGGACTGCTGCTGAATGACAACGCGGAAGCAGCTCAAACACCAATCAGAAGACGCCCGACTCTCACGTCAGCCAATCAGAGCACACTTAAAAGCTCTCCTTAGTTGGAAAACAAAAGTAAACTTAATTTCCCCTGAAAGAGGGATACCGTAAAACTGACGTGTGTGACCTACTACTGCATTTGCCCATTATCCAAATATCACACAATGTTTCAGATATTTTGTGAGAACATTATTTTATAAATATATTATTTTGTCAAATCGAGAGCTCAAAAATACTATTAAATATAATTAAATTATTAAATACTATTTATTGTAACAGATACATGGCACATCATCCAGTCCCTAGTTAGTTCCTCACGTTCACTCAGAAGTACATGGCTTGTTCACTGCATATTAGTCAACTGCACTGTAAGTGAAACAGATACTCTGAGCGCCTAGTAATGGTGTAAGACTTATACCATATGAAGTGGAGTAAAGTTTACTTTTGACTGTACAAGGTTTAGGGTTTTCACCGAAAACTGCATTTTAAGCTTATTTAGAAGAGGAAGGAAGGCAGAAATACTGCAACAGCTCGAATAATGAGAGATTTTGTAGTGGTTAACTAGTAGTGCACTGTACATTCTGCTCATTCAGCACCAGTTCAGCAGATCTAATAAAAAATAGGCCTGTTACTACCTGCTTCTCATTAGTCTGCGCTCACATAGGCAGGGTGTGTTTCGATTACACATAAGGGGTTTAAAGCACAAGACTCACTCTACGTACCTGCTGGACCGCAACAGTGGCTGCAATAAATGTTATCTTGTATATACAGACCCACATGTTACATGACATATCGTCTGTGTGCTTGAAGTGGAAAAACCCAGTCCTGATATGTACATGCACTCGTATCATGCTGTCTGTATTAGTCAGTCATAGAAAATGAAAAAAGTAAAGTACATGTAAACTCCCCAATTCCTTGCTGTTAGTCAGAGCAGAAGACATACGGGACACGGGAGAGGAGATCACAAGGGGTCAGCGCTTGCCTCATCCAGACCTTGTTTAGCTGTGGTGTGGACAGCGCTTACCTCATGGTCTAGAGAGGAAAGCCACAACCGTGTCAATGATTAAATGTCAGTTCTGCTGGGAAGTTTTTTAATGTTAGCGTCATGATGTTTCACTTCTCACATATCACTCATATGTGATCACAGTGTGATATGTGATCAATGCACAATGAGTTCTCTGGACGTATTAGAAACCATTTTTCGGAGGAAGCTTCATCACCTGACTGACGTCATCGTAGCGTATTGAAAGTAGTGTTTCCCAGACAAATTCATGTGTAATACTCTGGCTGTTTTGTTCATGTAGATTTCCCAAAAACAAATGTGTAGCATATAAATAATAACAAAAAGCTATAATTTGCAAATCCTTCGAACACTATAGTTTACAGAAAATATAGCAATGGGAAAATGTTATTTATCCTTTATATTGACAAATAGATGTTCATTTAAAAAAAAAAAATCGTGAAATAATTGAAAACTGGAACAGTCAGCTGTAGTAAGCTTTATTTCTCTGGCAATGAATCACCCTACCTCTGCTCAAAATATGTTGAGCAATGTTATTTCCATGTCTCCATTTTACCACTTCACGGCCCGTGTGGGACGAGCACCACCGTGTGGTCAGAAAAACAAATAACATTTTTATTTGACTTTTGTGTCACTTTTTCTGTATTGAGACCAGGGTTCCAAAAACATAAATAAACGCACAACAAAAAAACTAAAATATTATCCAGATGTAAGGATAAAAGTTTATTTGCAAAAACAAAAAACAAACAAACAAACAAACAACAAATGAAAATAAAAGTACAATACATTCTTAAAACCTTTTCTCTACAAAACAATTTCACAGAAATTACCTCGGAATGTATACTTATTTTTCATTTTGTAAATGTTTCATATATATATATATATCTATATATATATATTCTTATATTAATGTGTTTCCTTTATTTTAAATAGTCCCATGTGAATGCAAAATGATGTACAGTGTAGACCTTTTTTTCTGTAGAGGCAAAAAAGGTCTAGAGGGCATTTTGACAATCATATAGTCAATAACAGATCGTTAGTGTTCATCCATATACATGTCCAGCCAAGAGCCCTCCAGCCACTCTTCCTCAATATAAGTGCCATGTTGCATAAACAGAAGGCATTAGGAGCCCGGCCTCCAGCCAAAATAATGGGAGCAGGTGGGGTCCTACTGGACTGCAGCTGCCAGTGACTCTTTATCACACCCTCTGTTCCCACTCAGTAGTCATTCTTAACGATTCTCCTTCTATCTCACCAGTGAACACTTCGTATCACTAAAACCTCAATCAAACATGTCCTTTCTTTTGAGATAATACAATAAACAGTGACACTTCTATGATCCTTTAAAGAGAACATTATTTTCCTCTTTTTACAGTATATCTGAATTTACACTGACTTTACAGCCTGCTGATAAATACCGTTGTATTTCTGTTTGTCTCGGCCCTCGTCAGTCATTAAAGTAGCTTAAAAACTGCCTGCAGCCAAACCCTGATAAAGGCACACATTTGTGAAACAGCCATGCCTTGCACCACCGTGTCCCACACATGAACTGGTCTCCCTTCTGTTAGTGCTTAAAACAAGCTCAAACAGAAGAGTATCTGTATTTTCGACAGCCAAGCATTCCCCGTCTCGGTGGGATTTTAATACGAGAAATGAAGTTTGCAAACAAAAAAATCTGTCAGTAGATCTGAAATGCTCACAAATTCAGTGTTATTGAACAGGAATAGCATGCCAAATGTAAGCACATGCTTAGTCCAGATAAATAAAAGTCCCTTGTTAAAAAAATAAGAAAAACCCCCTCATCACTTAAAACAAATCAAGTCATAACCAATAGCTTGCATTATTATAAATGCTCTATTTTAAAATTGACATTATAAAATAATATTACAAACAGATACAAACACACAAGTTAGCATGACAAGGAAAAGGATAAAGAAAGGAATAAAATAAAGGTGATACAGAAGGAGAAAGAGGGGCAGAAAGGGATGTATCTGTTTGAGAAAGGGCTTTTTCTGAACGGAAAACTTTCTGTGGTTTATAATATCAGATACAAAGAGGAGTTCAGCACCTCAGTCATTCTAGTCAATGATATTTAACAGGTAGAAGTTGATGTACTGCTTTATCAAACAAAGTGTTCCTCTACTTGAGCTACAACCCTGCGTCTGAATCGCCTGATGAACACGTTGACACACATTCTATTAGGCTCCCGCGTGAGAGCATGTTAGCAAAAAGATCTTAGGTTGTCTCCACATCTCCGTGTTAGAAAAAAAAAAAGGGTGCTTTCCGTCATGGCAACACACCCACACACCTATATATACATACCCACACATACAAACACACACGCTCTCTGCTTTCCAGTCTGTCTGAAAACATTGCACCAAAAAGGACAGAGAAAAGGAGAATAAAAATAACTCTTCTCTCTGTACAGTAGTTCAGTCAGTGAGGCAAAGTGATGACTCAGGTCCGTCTGCGTAAAAAGCACGCCTCCAAATTTCAAATTTGGAATCAGTTTCCTCGTACAGACAAATACACAACAGGGTCCGAGGAGTCCCTGAAAGGAGCCTGTTTCGAAAAGGCAGAATTCAGGCAGTGAGCGAGCTCCGACAGGTCTCTCTCTCACACACACAGTGGGTCTGCAGGTAGGTTTAGGATCCTCTGACCAACAGGCTGCGCTATCCCTTGGGAGTTTTTTTGTTTTGGGCATTCCACATGCCTCTCTTGGAGTGGTAGTAGTGAAAGAAGTTCCTCAAGCGTAGTCTTTCTACTTCCAAACCGTTCTGCAGGACCCTAACGAACGAGAGAGACAGAGAGAAGTTTCATTTTTTGTCTCAGATCATATTGCAAATACACTTCTACACTAAAAGATAACCCTGCATATAAGCTGATAACCCTGATTTTCATGTGTTCGTGTACTTCTAAATGAGAATTTGGACATGAACAACATGAACATTAGAATGAAGGTACGCTGTATTTTATTACCTTGAGCGTTTAAACAACACGTTGATAGCTGTGTCCTTGCTTTAAATGACTTCTTTTAAGTCAGGTAAGGTCTTTTTTTTTCCAAGTCAGAAAATTGTGTTATTCTGATACCGCATGAATACATAATAATCTTCGGTTTCTTTAGCTCAAGTTTTGAAATTGCTACAGCTATAATTTCCTCTGCCACAACGCAGATTAAAGGACTAACATTGAAAAATTACAATTTAAAAGATAATTTCCTGATCACTATAAACATAAATGTTCAGCTTTTTAAAGCTTCTTGTGATCTTCCCTTCCTGAGCTGCACTTTCACTAATAATATAAACTTTTACAAAACACAGGGACATTTTTTACAACATGCACTGCTTTTACGTAGCTTTTGAGGTTAAATTAGATGTCCACTAGTTTGTTCACTCTGTGTCATACATGTTTTGAGAGTGTTTATGTTGCAGAGCTACCTGTCCAACAGTTCCCAATCCTCTCCACCCCAGCGGTCTTTGAACTCTTCTGTGTTCATCCCTCCAATTTTATCAAAATCTGATTTATAAATTCCAAACAGACCAAAGCCGTTTACCTCCCAGTAACCTTAGAGACAAAAGAAAAGCACTGAGTCATACAGTTTGATGGTGCAGCAACAGGAAAATCTGATGCCCACACATGATTGTACTTCAAAAAGTGTATTTACTACACATATAAAATAAAAATCACATATATCACCGTAACTGGGGAATGAGTTTCAGTGCCCCGTCAAACTAAGCCTTTGTTAATATGTAACACGTGTATTTTTTGTGTGTTACCATCAGGCTCCTGTGGTGAACTACCACAGCTGAGTCTCATGACAATGGGAGCAAAAGCAAGGCGTCCCTCCACGCAGTGCTTCCTGATGCTTTCCAAGATGTTGAGAGGGAAATGGATGTGCAGGTCACACAGGAATACGATGCTGTGGCTGTCCTGTGAGAGAAAATGCAAAGAAATGCTCAAGTATGTTTGCTACATCCAAATGATATCAAAATCCTTCCTTCAACTGGGCAAAAGAAGTGTCTGATTTTTGTGTGTGTAAGCTGGTGCAAGACAAGTGGATGTTCACATGCGCTTTACCGCTTTTTACATGGGCTTTTAGGATTAACGAGAGCAGAAGCTCTCTTTAGGTCTGTGCTCGGCATGAGTGGGTTGTCGTCACGTCAACAGCCCATAGGTCATTTAGATATGAGTGACAGTCGTGTCATCCCACCATGACAGCACTGACAGTCAACTGACGGATCAACGTCTGTCCAGACTTCCAGCTGCTCCATTCTCCCATGGGTGGGTATGCATGTGTGCGAGACAGAGACAGCCACAGAATGGTGTAAGGGCACATGCACACAAATAACCTGTGAGAGGGAGTGGATGTGACAGCTATGGCATACATATGACAGAGGATATGCGGCTATCTGTCTAAGGAATTCCCTGTCAGCCACAGCTGGACTCTGTGCGAGAGAGCCAAGGAAGGCAGTAGGAGGCTTGGAGATAAGGGTGAGATCCACAGTCCATGACAGACCAACCTCGCTGTGATGCATTCATTATGCATGAGTGTTCTTTCTGCCTGTCCATCAGCCAGTAAAGGTCATGTGGTCTGTGCAAGCGTCTGACCTTCAGTGAGTGGCTTTTGCCTGCCAGCTCACATATTGTCGTCTTCTCTATGTGTGCTTGTTTCACTGACCTCAATAGTGTCCACTCCCATCTGCAGTCCTGCCGAGCGCTCAAAGTTGCCTTCTCTCCTAAGATACTCATATCTGCCAAAACACAAATATATATAAAGCGCGGCAGCCTTCAAAATATTAAAAGTCACAGCACACAGCTCCTTGTGTCGCATGCACACACCTTGGCACACTGCTCTCTCGAAGTGCCTGCTCCACGTCCATATCTTCGCTCTCAAAATCCACAATGATGATGCTGAAATTGTCATCTTTTGTCTGCCGGTGAAGATTTTCCATGTCAGAGATGAACTGCTGCACCCAGCGAGCCTGGTTTTTTACTGAAGAACAGTAACACCAAAGGCAAAAGGACAGCAAGTTGAGAAAACAAAGAAAGTATAGGCAAATAAATTATTCATCTGAAGGATGCTGAATCTGCCTTGGATTAACTTTTGACTCACCTGGGACCACAAAGTGTACCATGACATCTTTCCTCCATTGGAGCATGACTGGCTGGCATAGCAGGGGCTTAGCATATGCAGTGCTCCAGGGTGTTGCTGCTGCTCGGCCAGACGACTTGGTGGGAGGAGGAGGCGGCGGTGGGGTGGTGAGGCTGGGAGTGGCAGTGGAGAGGGCTGAAGCCGGTGCTGAGGCAGGGGCAGAGTCTGTGTTCTCTAAACTTTCCTCCCCCTGCTTGCTGCGGTGTAGCAGCAGGTAAATGTATTCTGAAAGGCGTACCACGCTACGTCCTCTCTCCATAAGCTCCAGCTCCACGAGGTACCGGTTCCCTCTTGCCGAGTCACGCCGCTTTTCAACGTTGATAATTCGCAACAGGGTGTAGATCCTAGGGCAGACAGACAGAAAATATTGAAAATACACAGAGAGGTTAGGTTGCACATATAGAATACAACATTTTACATCATTGGCACAAGTGGATTAATTATTGTTTGTGTTTACAAACCACTTCAAAAAAGCTGATTCTCATTATCTGTGGCACATTGAATTTAGCACGGATGATGAAAATAACAACAGAGAAGCTACTTCACACAAATAACATCGAGCTTTGCAAGAACTACTGAAGAAAATTGTAATCAGCGTACTGAAGACTGAGAGCAAGACTTCAAAGCACCAGGACATGAGCAATATGTTGCAGCAAAATTACCTTTTGCTTTATATAACGATTAGCATAAGTACCACACCTAAACTAACAAGGATGCAGGGAAACATAGACCTTGTCTGTTTTATTTCATTTTGCCATGCTTACCCCCCATTGCGCTCATTGAGTTTCTCCATGTACTGTGCCAGCACGTCCACCACCTCGCTCTCTGCTAGCTGCAGGTTCCCAGACACATTACAGCGCAAGTCATTCCAGTCAGAGCGCAGAAGCTCAAAGTCCATCGGATTGACTGAGAAAGTCCTCTGCCAGTTAATGCTCTCCTCTGCCCAACCTGGCCGAGCCTCCACCTCCTCGTAGCTGTAATCTGACATTTCACCCTCCTCTGGCTCTGGCTCGGGGTCGGGATCAGGATTAGAGTGGTTTGTTTCTTGGTCGATATCTGGAGGGTTGGGGTCTGGCTGCTGCTGGGACTCTGTAATCTCTGAGGTTCGCAGGTAAGAAGTAACCCGTGATTGACCTTGGATTGTGTTGTCTGTAAAGTTTAATCTTGGTGGGGTAACAGAGGGATGAGGGGGACCGCGGTGAGAGGACGGTTCGATTAGGTGGTGTTCTTTACTGGGTGGGTCAGCCATGATAGTAGTCTTTAAATCCCGGTGCTCTCCTTTGCTTTTGCTTTTCTCTGGCTGTCTTGCCCCTGTTGCCTTGTTAGAAGACTTTACCACACTTTCATTGTGTGTGTTGGTGCTTCCATTGTGAGGAGAAGCCTTACCTTCTTTTATAGGGGGGTTAGGCCAGAGCTGAGGCGCACTAATCAGACTCCTACTTCCTGTTACGCCTCCCCCACCACGTCTCCTGGCACCCAGGTTTACCAGCCTGGTGGTCTTTCCAGTCTGATACAAAAAGACTCCTGGGAAAACCTCTCTAGGGTGGCGAGATGCCCTCTCGTCCCTCCTCTCTCGCCGCTGCTCCCTCTCCTTCTCTCTCTCCCTTGCAGGCTTGGGCCTGGTGATGTAGATCTTGTTCTCCTCCCTCTTCTCTTTTTTGCTCCCGGGAAGCCTATCGTGGAGGTTGTTGCCATGTGCAGAGTTGCTGAGGATCTGCCTGGCTCGGCTAGCAAGGGCAGAGAGGGACGACTTTTGGGGAAAGAGAAGAGAAGACTTGCTGAGTTTAGTCCGTGTGTCAACTCCCCTGTCTTCTCCGCCACCTGTTCCTCCGCCTTTCCTGGCAGGGTCTAGTTCTGCAGAATCAGTGTGGACCCAGGACAGAGAGCGACCCCTAACCACGCTTTCGATATCAGGCTGAAGAACCCTTGCTTCGATGTTTTCAAGTCTCTTCCCCGTGTCTTTTCTCATATTCTCCCTTGTATGATCTCTCCCCCAGTCTCTGTCCAAATCCCTATCCATCTGTCTGTCTCTGCGAGGAAAACGCCTCCTTTCTCTGTGCTGTATGATACTGTTGACTGGGCCCTCATCTTCTTCATCATTAGGATCCTCCTTCTCTTTCTCCTTGTCTCGGCCAGCTGGTGTGGGCTCAGACTTTGATTGCTGATAGGAGGGATTTGAAGTATGGCTGGTCTGGCTTGGATAAGAGGGCTTCTTGGGTGACTGTGTGCCAACAATCTCTGCCTCATCCTCTGTATCTACCACCTCCTCCTCCTCTAGGAAATCTGGGGACACGAAAGAGACTTAAAGTTGAATGAGAGTCTGTACGTGTGCAGGTGGGTGCATGTGTTTGCTCATTATTAGTTACCATCTGGGTTCGGGAAGAAGAACGGCCTGTCATCTTCTTCCTCATCCATCTTCATATATTTGTAGAAACCAAACCTGGCAGACAAAACAAGAGGCAGCACAGGCACACACACACACACGGCCACATGCATTAACAGAAGGTTGAAGTTTCGATGTGCCTTGCAGCATAATACACTTAATCTCTTAGTGAGGGGTCACATGAATCACTGCCATCAGATTCACAGACACTTGAACACTTATTCTGCATAATCAGTGTACGCGCTCATATATACAAGACAAAGACAAATGTTCCCATACCTCCCTAAGAGATAAAAGTAATAATGCCCTTACTTCTCCAAGTAGATAGGGGACTCTCTGTAGAAACACTTGTTTTCTCGCTCCATGTGGGTGAGGCGCGTGAAGTCATTAGGGTAGACGAAAGACAGATAGACCTGATAAACAGAGACATGTCAATCAAAAATGCAATCGCCCCAGAAAACAGTGACAGGAGGAAAAGTTAGGTTATACTATGTGCACTTTGTGACAGTGTTTAATTACAACCAGTCACTTTATATAATGCTGCATTTTGTTAAGGTCATTCTTGTCTAATCTGAAATGGATTTGCTGTGTAACTTGCATCTCTCTCTCATACCAGTTATCGTTCATCTTTGCAGATGTTGCAGTAACCTGTGCTGCCCTAAAGGGGGAAGCAGTGCTCAACACTGCCCTCCACTTACTTTGTTCATGCTGTGCTTGACACAAAGGGAGAGATGCAGTGGCGATATCCAAATCAGCACAGATGTAGCTTCTCTGTTTCTCTGTTTGCTGCGCAGTTGATCGGGATATTACACTGGGAATACTTTTTAAGGGCCACTACCATATCTGGTCACATTTCTGATGACCCCGCTAGTCTACTTTTAGCAACAGCTGACTGTCGAAAAATAAAAGCTGATTCGAACAAAAGCGTCACTCTTTTTGTGACCCAGATGGAAAGTGACTTACGAACTGCAGGCCCTGGTATCTGGCAATGGGGAAATCTTTGACTACATAGGTTGGAGAGTAAAGACAGGCCGGAAGAACGTTTTCCAGTCGAGAGGGATCGATCATAGGGGCTGAGAAGAGACAGAGAGTGACAGGAAGAGGAAGAGGCAGGCAGTTATTCAACAACTAGGCCAAACCAATGTGTGTATAGAACACTTAAATAAATGAATAAATAAAAATCTAAGAGTCAGATAGGTGAGTGATGAAAAAAAGCAGGAAAATCCAGAAAAAATGGAACACAGCCTACTGGATGAAATTACAGTCTGAATACAGCTAAGATGACAACTGCAGACAATCGAGCCAGACAATCAGGCATTTAGAGAAAACGACAGGCCAGAAAATCAGGATGAAGACAGAGAAAGAGGACAGCCTGAAATGATGAATGGCAGATTTACTGCTATAGAAGGTGTCCCTGGGATCCGGCTTCAGCATATCAGCTCCATGCAGGATGGTACGGCCTCCCTCCAGACCCTGAGGCTGTGTCTCCTCTGGGAGACGGATGTGACTGGCCAAGGTCTGAGGGATGTGGTCCACACTGTTCATCTTCAGATTGGACTCATCTGGAAAAAAAGCAGTGAAGAGACATTAAGTTAGAGTCAGCGGAAAAGAGAAAGATTCTTTATCTCATTTCCTTTTTTATGCTCCTCACAATGGACAAATTTGATATTTAATGTTTAAAAGACGATATGATTTGGGCCACAATTACAGCAAAATCGCTACCATCTATGACGAGGTGGCGACTGAGGAAGGAAGAGACAGAAGGAGAAGCAGAGGGGAGATGGCACAAAGGAAGCAGAGGAAGAGGAGGAGAACCCTAACAAAAGCTGAAGTGAAGGATCAGAAAAAAGTTGAAGCAAACAAAAGCAGAACAGAGCCGAGTCATAATTATACCAATCGATAACAGGGTACGAGGAGAGCGCACGCGTGATTAATGGCATGTCAGTGGCAATGCCTGATGGGAGAAGTGCTTTATAATTAACAGGGTGGTCAGCATAATTTTTATCCTCAGGAGGGTGAATTGTGTCCACCATCTTTCTCTCTTTTTTTCCTAAACAATAAGATATCTGTTGATCACACTGCTGGTTTTTACTACACACAAGTCTTGCAAATGTTGACTAATGGGCTCGTTGATCAGCAAAATAATGGAACCCCTTTTTCTTCCTGTGAAAAAATTGCATCATTTTTCATATATTTATATTATCATCAAAACCACAGCATTCATTTATGTGCAGCAGAGATATTGAGATGGATCTTTGCAACAAAAACAAAGGAAACCAAAGAAAAAATGCTTGTTTAACTTTACACATTTATAGCAACTAAGTTGACTGCATCTTTGGTGTTTTTTCACTTAAATTATGAAACATAATCTGTGGCATTATTACACAAATGGAGCTTCCAATTCGGGTTGTGCCAGTAAGAAATTATTTTGAAGCTATAGACAGAAAAACACTTGCATGAGCAGAGGGAAGCGTGGCACAATGAAAGACATAAAAGTAGCTTGGGATAGTTTTTCAGATACATAACAAAATATCTCTAAATTTATGTGCAAGTATTCCACTTATACAATGCAACACTGATTGCAGAATCAAAGTCCTACAACTTTAACTGGTGTCCCAGAGCAAAGAGATGCATGTTTTTGCTCAAACAGGAAGGATTATTAAATAATTTCCAGAGTGAGTGAATGGAAAAAACAACTGAGGGAGGCAGAGTGACATGAGGGAGGAGAAGGGATGGATGGGTGGAGGACGGGAGACAGATGAGGAGATGGTAATGCTCGAATCCAGCAGGTGACCTCATATATGGTACGAGGCTTCATTCCTCTCTGTCACAGCTTGTCATAAACAAGAAGACAGGATTTGGCATGCATCCACATAACACTGCAGCTTTGCCCAAGATGACAACTCCACACATCATTTTCTGTGCAGCTGGCATTTCCCCCTGTTAACGATGCTGAATCTTTGTGACACATTACTATTCTTGGAGCTATAAAGGTTAGACATCTACTCTGGAGATAGTGTTCTCATTTCTGCTAAGAATGACACCTATGGAAGAAAATAGATCATCTATTAGATCCTGAAACTTCTCTTTAGCCGCACGTAGGGAATACATGCTGTGTTCTCAAACTGACATCTGCAGTGAACCCACAGAAGAACATTTTGGTTTAAATAGGTTGTTTCTATGGCATGATTGAGCCTTTCCTTTTGGCAAGCTCTCAGCTGAGCATTTTCAGCAGATTTTCTATTAACAAAGTCCAGTGTATAAATGCCAATAAATACAAAAAATTAATCATGAAATTTATTAGATTCCACGACAAGATGACACAAATTTGATGAATTGCTCTTACCTGTGTAGAGGGAGATGTAGGCCGAGTCTATCACTTCATATTTCAGACCAGGCAGGAACGGACGCCACTGTGTGTGAGAGCAGAGAGTGAGAGAAAAGGGACTGAGCGAGAAAACTAAATGCCAACATGTTCAAAGTATACGGCGAGCAGAAATCGTCCATCAGTCTTTGCTGCCTGAGCTGTGACACTCTGTGTTATTGATCTTAACAACATCACAGGATCGATCTGAAGCAGGGTTTTTGTATAAACACACATAGTTGAAGACAGAAGAGGAAACAGAATAAAGAATGTAGGACATATACATCCTTACAAAAGGTGTAAGCAAGGAAAGGAAACAAGAGGAAAACGACAAACAAAGAAAATAGACCATGAACAAAGAGACAACATGGCTGTATGGATAAGACGGGGATGAGTAGGTGTAGAAAAACGATGTAGTAATGACCTGAAAACAGCAGCGAGAGAGAGAAATAAAAAGGGGATGAGAAAGAGACAGAGAGGCAAGCTACAATTCTTTTAAATAGATTTCACAATTACCTCGTCACTTCTAGTTACCAAGGATATAATCACAGGAGACAGGTCATTTTCCAACCCTCAGCTTGAGAATACAAATATAAACACCCTCCTCAGGCTTATGCAAATGCCCCCAGTGTATGCACGGCATAAAAACATGCACACTGTTTTGGATTTTAGGGCATTTTATCACAAATGAAGCACTGAGTGTAGCACCAAATTCTGAAATTAGAAAGGCATTTACAACATCTACAGTGCTGCGAAACAGTGTTTCTCCCTCTACCGTATTGGTTCCTTTTTTTCTGGCTATTTGTCCCATATTTGGCAAAATTAACCCAGATAAATAAAAACTCTTTGAAATAAAGTTGGCTCCTAGAACCTGGATGTTGACGTATCCTCGGGCAGGATGCAGAACCCCAAGTTGCCTCTGAGAGCGTGAAAGTTAAAAGTGCTTAGGCATAGAAAAAAAAGGATTTGTGTGAATGAGATTTGGAGTAAGAAAGCACTTCGAGTGCTCAAATTGAGTAGAAAAGTGCATATAAGCACCAGTCCATTTACCATTTATCACTTTAACCTAATAACTGGTTCTGCCACCTTTGGCAGCAAGAACTGCAAGCGTCAAGCATTTACGATAACTACCGATGAGTCTTTCACAAGGCTGTGGAGACGTTTTCAGCCCACTCTCCTTTGCACAAGTGTTTTAATTCAGACACACTAGAGGGTTGAATATTTTTTTCCCCTTAAAACATAAAATCACCATTTAAAAACAGCACTTTGTATTTCTTCGGGTTATATTTATCTATTATTAAAATATGTTGTGGATCTAAAACTTTTAAATGTGACATATATACAAAAAGTACAAAATCAGAAAGGCAGCAAATGCTTTTTCACGGCACTGTATACTGTATGCAAATGATACACGCCAATAAAGCATTGTTTCAGAAACACACATAACCGCAGAAGTGCATGTAGTGCATTAAAGAACAATAAATAAGGACACAGGGTAACATCATGCAGAAAAGCACCAGGGGGTGGCCCAGCAGGCCAGCAAAGGCTTCACTATCTTGCTGTCATTTCAGGGTGATCATCTTCAAGGTCAAGCCAGAAGGCTCCACAACCCAACTCCAGGAGGGACAAAAAAAAAAAAGTGGACACCACATATTCAGTGTAAAATGCAGCCAACCTTTCTGTTATTCTTACACGCCAGAACACACAGCAAAACTCGAGTGATCATCCATTCAACACTAAAAAATACATGAATCAATCCTATTTCAAGGTTTACTTCCTTTTTCGCATTTCTTTTAATCACATGTCACAGTCTTATTTTGGAGCTCTTTTTCTGCGTCTCGCCACTTTGTTTCACTGTAGGCTGTAACTGCGTAGCTGCATTTCTGGAATGTATAATGAAAAACAACAAAAAAACAGACCCGTTTGTTTTCGCCAAAGAAATGCAACTCAAAATGGCTCAGCTTTACAGGTCAAAGCTGCAAGCGAAAGATGTTGTGAAATTTAAAATGAGAGACAATGACAGTTGATGCTTTGACTTGTGGCTCGGAGCGTGTTTCAGCAGTGCGTTTAGGAAGAATGTCAACACAACCCTTTCCAGAGCTCAGTGGAGCACAGCACCGCTGATGTGTCATCAGCCTTAAGTGAAGATGAGGCACACAACACTTGTGCTCCTGCAGGGCCCATTTTCTAAATATGTGAACTTCTGTTCATTGGCTGACCTCATATATTTGCTAATGAATTCCTCCAACCCAGCGAGTGTGCGTGTGCATGTGTGGAGACACACAGTATCTTTTATGAAAGCGTAAATGTAGTGTGTCTTGTGTGTACAGGTGTGTTTACTTTAAAACACTTTTGACAGGAAACAGCAGGAAAAAGCAGAGGTGTGCTCACTAGCCCTGCAAGTTCAAAAGAAAGGGGGAGAAAAAAATCAATATCCAAGGGGAAATAATAAAAAGTACCAACAGTGGAAACAAAATGACAATGAACAACAGGCAGTGTTGTTTCACACAGGCTAGACCACCGACTGATATATAAAGGTTTGATTCTGTTTTCAATCTGATGATCAAAAGAGGCTTTTAATCCTTCTTAGTGTATGGTTTGATACCAAACCGAATAACACACGCAGCTTTTGTTATTTGTTTTTTTATCATTCAGCGATTAGGAGTTTATTGCTTCTGAGAAGACTGACTGCTGGCTGCTGTATTTGTTACCTTAATTCAATCAGTTGCACCAGAGCCCAACGCTCTATCGATAAAAAGTTGTTTTGTTAATGTGACACATAAGTAGAAATGACATAATGAAAATAACTGACCGCTTCAAGTTTACATACAAACCACTTGAGATTTGTGGTCAAATAAAATTAACAGAAATTAAGCACTTTATTTGTTTGATTTATTCTTGCGAATAATGACTTTTATGCTAGTACAGCTCACCTTGGTACATTTAAAAGGTTGTCAATTTCCATTTGTTCAACTGAGGACAGAGAGGTTCATTGTGTTCTTTGTATAGCTCATCTCTCGTTTCCTCCATGTCGTACATAGCAGAACAAGACAGATGTTAACAAGCCTGATGAAGCCTGCCTTAGGGGAAAAGGCAAGAGGAGACCGGGACTACTCTGATGTTATTTGCAACCCCAATTCCAAAAAAGTTGGGATGATGTGTAAAATAAATACAAAATGTAATGATTTGCAAATCTTATGAACCCATATATCATTCACAACAAACACAGAAAGCATATGAAATTTGTAAATTTAAAAAATATTAGCTCACTTAAATTTGATGGTGGCAACATACCTAAAAAAAAAGATTACTATTATGTTTAATCCTCTTTTCTGTTAACAACAGTTTGTAAGCATCTGGGAACTTAGCAGACCAGTTTGCTGGACTGTTGGAGGATGAATGTTATCCCATTCTTTTTGCTGCTCAGCAGTCCTGGGTCTTCTTTGTCATATTTTTTTATTTCATGATGTATTCTTGAATGCACGCAAAGCCAGTTCGGCACTCATCTACTACAAAGCCATTCTCTTGTAACAGTTGGACTATTCAGTTTAGCAGTGTCTTGCTGAAATATGCAAGGACTTCCCTAAAGAAAAAAGCAGTCTTGATTGGAGTATATGCTGCTCTAAAACCTGTATATAACTTTCAGCACTGATGGTGCCTTAACCAGACCTGTTGCCAGTTAACCTAATCATCTGCAAAATGTTCCTCCAGCTGTTTTGAGCACAGTTTCCCTTTCCAGCTTTCCGTTGCCCCTTGTTCCAGAGTTGGGGGTGTGTAGACATGTTTCTGTCACCAAACTCCAAATGAGCTAACATTTTTCATGAAGTAGTAAAATGTTTTAAACTGATATGTTTTCTATGTTCTATTGTAAATTAAATATTGGTTTATGAGATTTGCAAATCTTAGCTCCACTAAGGATTTAATGTTTTTGGTAGAATTTGTATTCATAGGCATCATTCTGCCTATAAATACAATAGCTCGTTTGACATGTATTCTGATAAAACTTTGTAGAGGTGTAGAATGGAGTCACATAAACAATCCATAAAAATTTGGTTTACATCGACCAAGGTCTTCAAGATTAACTCAATGATTTATTGGTTGAAAATTGATTAAAAACCTTCTAACTTAAACATTAAAAGAAATGTGGTGTGTACTGTCAACATATAAAAAGCACCGTATAAAACCTCTGACCTCTTCTTTGAGTTCAAAAGATTGATCTGAAGGTCAAAGTGATATTAATGCTATTTAAAACTAAGTTTCTTATAATTATTCTGATATAATATAATAGGCTAGAGTTACTCATATCCAGTTATTTACAGATCAATGCCTATTAAACATTACTACTTCTACATAATATTTGTGTAATTAAAGTAAACACCTGTCATCCCACCATGCAATTTTTTGTCATGCAATTTTAAATAATTACTTGTTGTTTAAATATGCAAATTACCTAATATGATGTAACATGAGTGGTTACAATAACATACATTGATTGTTGTCCAAGTCGAACTGTCAGACAGAAAGCACTGAGAAATGGGTCAAGGCTAGAACAGAGATAGAGGATGGTAAATAATATATTATCTTAGGAAGGCTTGTTTGTTTTTATGTGTCCTTTGTTAACTGCCCAGGGTTATAATTTAATCATAAATGGATGGAGACGAAAGCAGCTCAAGAAAAAGGCTGTGGTAAGCAGGCCCTATTATATCCATTAGGAAAATAGCTCTGAAATCACGCTGTGCATTCTTTTCAGGTTCTTATATAGTACGAGAAAGCTTGGTTTTTATTACTGAAGTAAAAGAAACAGACGTAATTCTTCCTATTAGGGCGATAATTAATAAACCTGACAAACCATTTGTAACGATTCATTATGAGTTTGAATGAAAGCCAGAACAAAGCACAGGTGCTTTCATTGACCTGACTGTGTTTCTGTTGCCAGACAACTGTTTGGCCATAGCAACTACGACTGCACTGAGACTGACAGGCTGCTAACAAGCCAAAAATGATAATATTAATACGAATACGAGTCTCATGGAAATGTATTAAATAGTG